GGTATATCACCTACAGAGATTATTACTTTACATCTCTCGGTATACCACCTACAGAGATGATTACTTTACATCTCTCGGTATACCACCTACAGAGATTATTACTTTACATCTCTCGGTATGTCACCTACAGAGATTATTACTTTACATCTCTCGGTATATCACCTACAGAGATTATTACTTTACATCTCTCGGTATATCACCTACAGAGATTATTACTTTACATCTCTCGGTATATCACCTACAGAGATTATTACTTTACATCTCTCGGTATATCACCTACAGAGATTATTACTTTACATCTCTCGGTATATCACCTACAGAGATTATTACTTTACATCTCTCGGTATATCACCTACAGAGATTATTACTTTACATCTCTCGGTATATCACCTACAGAGATTATTACTTTACAGATCTCGGTATGTCACCTACCGAGATTATTACTTTACATCTCTCGGTATATCACCTACAGAGATTATTACTTCACAGCTTTGATATATATCACTAGACAAGACGCTGTCAAGTCACCAGTTTTCCAAAAGCATGTTTTGTAAATGTAAACAACGACGATTTCCAGCTCTTCTGTGGCATGTCTGTAAGAAGTCCTGGTCGTCCGATCACTCATAAAAAAACAAAGGTTTTTGTGTAATAGAAGTATCATAACTGTAGGTTTTTGTGTAATAGAAGTATCATAACTGTAGGTTTTTGTGTAATAGAAGTATCATAACTGTAGGTTTTTGTGTAATAGAAGTATCATAACTGTAGGTTTTTGTGTAATAGAAGTATCATAACTGTAGGTTTTTGTGTAATAGAAGTATCATAACTGTAGGTTTTTGTGTAATAGAAGTATCATAACTGTAGGTTTTTGTATTCACAAAGCTATTGCACAAACGACATAGGTCCCTGTGGCTTTCTGGCCGGAACTGTTTGTGGGGGGAACTTTCTTGGAGGTATTTCTGGAGGAGGAAGATTCACTTCAGATGAAATTGAGATACTTCGTAAAAATTTCTCCCTTTTGGACGTTGTCTGTGAAAAGAAAATTTAATTAAAGCTTAAAAAGTTTGACATAGATGGTTTAAATATAGCAGAAATCGAATATTCCGTTCCTGTTTCTTAAATTTACCCAGACGGTTTGGATACTAGGGTATAATTTTTATAGAAAATATTCCATATGACCTTTTAACCTCTCATTTTGTAGAGGGACTGATATATTAGAAGTTACTGGAGACGGACAATATGATAAGTTATGACTGGATGGTGGGACAACCAGTTTATCGATAGCTTGATGGTAGGACAATTAGTATATTTGTGGCTGGATGAAGGGACAACTAGTTTATTTGTGACTGTATGTTAGGACAACTAAAATATACGTGGCTGGATAGTGTGAAAATCAGATTATTGGTGGCTAGATGGTGGGACAACAAGATTAGTGGTTGCTAGATGATGGGACAACAAGATTATTGGTGGCTAGATGGTGGGACAACAAGATTATTGGTGGCTAGATGATGGGACAACAAGATTATTGGTGGCTAGATGGTGGGACAACAAGATTATTGGTGGCTAGATGGTGGAACATGTAGATTATTGGTGGCTAGATGGTGGAACATGTAGATTATTGGTGGCTAGATGGTGGGACATGTAGATTATTGGTGGCTAGATGGTGGGACATGTAGATTATTGGTGGCTAGATGGTGGGACATGTAGATTATTGGTGGCTAGATGGTGGGACATGTAGATTATTGGTGGCTAGATGGTGGGACATGTAGATTATTGGTGGCTAGATGGTGGGACATGTAGATTATTGGTGGCTAGATGGTGGGACATGTAGATTATTGGTGGCTAGATGGTGGGACATGTAGATTATTGGTGGCTAGATGGTGGGACATGTAGATTATTGGTGGCTAGATGGTGGGACATGTAGATTATTGGTGGCTAGATGGTGGGACATGTAGATTATTGGTGGCTAGATGGTGGGACATGTAGATTATTGGTGGCTAGATGGTGGGACATGTAGATTATTGGTGGCTAGATGGTGGGACATGTAGATTATTGGTGGCTAGATGGTGGGACATGTAGATTATTGGTGGCTAGATGGTGGGACATGTAGATTATTGGTGGCTAGATGGTGGGACATGTAGATTATTGGTGGCTAGATGGTGGGACATGTAGATTATTGGTGGCTAGATGGTGGGACATGTAGATTATTGGTGGCTAGATGGTGGGACATGTAGATTATTGGTGGCTAGATGGTGGGACATGTAGATTATTGGTGGCTAGATGGTGGGACATGTAGATTATTGGTGGCTAGATGGTGGGACATGTAGATTATTGGTGGCTAGATGGTGGGACATGTAGATTATTGGTGGCTAGATGGTGGGACATGTAGATTATTGGTGGCTAGATGGTGGGACATGTAGATTATTGGTGGCTAGATGGTGGGACATGTAGATTATTGGTGGCTAGATGGTGGGACATGTAGATTATTGGTGGCTAGATGGTGGGACATGTAGATTATTGGTGGCTAGATGGTGGGACATGTAGATTATTGGTGGCTAGATGGTGGGACATGTAGATTATTGGTGGCTAGATGGTGGGACATGTAGATTATTGGTGGCTAGATGGTGGGACATGTAGATTATTGGTGGCTAGATGGTGGGACATGTAGATTATTGGTGGCTAGATGGTGGGACATGTAGATTATTGGTGGCTAGATGGTGGGACATGTAGATTATTGGTGGCTAGATGGTGGGACATGTAGATTATTGGTGGCTAGATGGTGGGACATGTAGATTATTGGTGGCTAGATGGTGGGACATGTAGATTATTGGTGGCTAGATGGTGGGACATGTAGATTATTGGTGGCTAGATGGTGGGACATGTAGATTATTGGTGGCTAGATGGTGGGACATGTAGATTATTGGTGGCTAGATGGTGGGACATGTAGATTATTGGTGGCTAGATGGTGGGACATGTAGATTATTGGTGGCTAGATGGTGGGACATGTAGATTATTGGTGGCTAGATGGTGGGACATGTAGATTATTGGTGGCTAGATGGTGGGACATGTAGATTATTGGTGGCTAGATGGTGGGACATGTAGATTATTGGTGGCTAGATGGTGGGACATGTAGATTATTGGTGGCTAGATGGTGGGACATGTAGATTATTGGTGGCTAGATGGTGGGACATGTAGATTATTGGTGGCTAGATGGTGGGACATGTAGATTATTGGTGGCTAGATGGTGGGACATGTAGATTATTGGTGGCTAGATGGTGGGACATGTAGATTATTGGTGGCTAGATGGTGGGACATGTAGATTATTGGTGGCTAGATGGTGGGACATGTAGATTATTGGTGGCTAGATGGTGGGACATGTAGATTATTGGTGGCTAGATGGTGGGACATGTAGATTATTGGTGGCTAGATGGTGGGACATGTAGATTATTGGTGGCTAGATGGTGGGACATGTAGATTATTGGTGGCTAGATGGTGGGACATGTAGATTATTGGTGGCTAGATGGTGGGACATGTAGATTATTGGTGGCTAGATGGTGGGACATGTAGATTATTGGTGGCTAGATGGTGGGACATGTAGATTATTGGTGGCTAGATGGTGGGACATGTAGATTATTGGTGGCTAGATGGTGGGACATGTAGATTATTGGTGGCTAGATGGTGGGACATGTAGATTATTGGTGGCTAGATGGTGGGACATGTAGATTATTGGTGGCTAGATGGTGGGACATGTAGATTATTGGTGGCTAGATGGTGGGACATGTAGATTATTGGTGGCTAGATGGTGGGACATGTAGATTATTGGTGGCTAGATGGTGGGACATGTAGATTATTGGTGGCTAGATGGTGGGACATGTAGATTATTGGTGGCTAGATGGTGGGACATGTAGATTATTGGTGGCTAGATGGTGGGACATGTAGATTATTGGTGGCTAGATGGTGGGACATGTAGATTATTGGTGGCTAGATGGTGGGACATGTAGATTATTGGTGGCTAGATGGTGGGACATGTAGATTATTGGTGGCTAGATGGTGGGACATGTAGATTATTGGTGGCTAGATGGTGGGACATGTAGATTATTGGTGGCTAGATGGTGGGACATGTAGATTATTGGTGGCTAGATGGTGGGACATGTAGATTATTGGTGGCTAGATGGTGGGACATGTAGATTATTGGTGGCTAGATGGTGGGACATGTAGATTATTGGTGGCTAGATGGTGGGACATGTAGATTATTGGTGGCTAGATGGTGGGACATGTAGATTATTGGTGGCTAGATGGTGGGACATGTAGATTATTGGTGGCTAGATGGTGGGACATGTAGATTATTGGTGGCTAGATGGTGGGACATGTAGATTATTGGTGGCTAGATGGTGGGACATGTAGATTATTGGTGGCTAGATGGTGGGACATGTAGATTATTGGTGGCTAGATGGTGGGACATGTAGATTATTGGTGGCTAGATGGTGGGACATGTAGATTATTGGTGGCTAGATGGTGGGACATGTAGATTATTGGTGGCTAGATGGTGGAACATGTAGATTATTGGTGGCTAGATGGTGGGACAACAAGATTATTGGTGGCTAGATGGTGGGACATGTAGATTATTAGTGGCTGGATAGTACAACTAGTTAATTTATGGCTGGATGGTGGGACAACCAGATTATTGACGGCTGGACGATGGGACAACCATATTATTTGTGACATGATGGTGGGAAAACCAGAATATTGGTGGCTGGGTATTGGGATAACTTGATAATTGGTGGCTGGATAGAGGGACAACCAGGTTACTGGTGGATTGGTTGAGGGGCAACCGAGTTAGTGGTTGCTGGATAGAGTGAAAACTGGATTAAAGTTAGACCTGTTGGAGCGAAAATGTCGCGTTAAGGTGACATCGGCAATAGTGTATGTGGGGCTGGTTAGTGAGCCTGTTAGTTTAGTTATAAGTAGCGGCTGGATAGTGAAGTTCATTCGTAAACGATGGCTATATAGTTAGGCTACTTAACAAGTAATGGCTTGATAATGCGTTTAATTGATTAACGGTGGTTGATTAGTGGATTTTTTCGGTGATGGCTGGATGGTGGAGATTCTTTATTAGTGGTTGCTGGTAAAAGGGTATACTTGATTAATGGTGGCTGGATAATGGGTTTATAGGATTAATGGTGGCTGGATAATGGGTTTATAGGATTAATGGTGACTGGATAGTGACGTTATTGGATTATTTATAACTGAATAGAAGAGTTTCTTGATACTTAATTAATGGCGTCTGGATAGCTGGTTCATTTGATAAGTGGTGGCTGGATATCACAGTTACTTTATTAGCAGTGGCTGAATAGTGGTATCTTAATAGGTGTGTGGCTGGTGAGTGGGTTCTATTGATTGGTCTATTTTTTATAGTTGATTTACTTGATTTGTGGTGGTTTGAAAGTGGTGCTGCTTGATTGGAGTTGCTCGATAGTGGTGTTACTTCATTTGTGGTGTCTGAATAGAGGGGTTACTAAATAGGAGGTGGCTGGTTGGTGGGGTTACTTAATAAGTGGCGGTTGGTTAGTTGATTTACTTGTTAATTAGTTAATTAGTTGTGACTAATTACTGGGGTTACTTTATTAGCGTCGGCTGGATATTGGGGTTACTTAACCAATGGTGTCTGGATAGTGGGTTACCTAATTCATAGTGACTGGTTAGTGGGGTTACTTAACTAATGTTGTCTGAATAGTGGGGTTACTTAATTAATGGTGTCTGGATAGAGGGGTTACTTAATGGTGTCTGGATAGAGGGGTTACTTGATTAATGGTGTCTGGATAGAGGGGTTACTTGATTAATGGTGTCTGGATAGAGGGGTTACTTGATTAATGGTGTCTGGATAGAGGGGTTAATTAATTAATGGTGTCTGGATAGAGGGGTTAATTAATGTTGTCTGGATAGTTGGGTTACTTAATAGGTGGCGACTGGTTATTGGGGTTACTTAATAAGTGGCGGTTGGTTCGTTGAGTTACTTGATCAGTTGAGGCTGGATAGTTCAATTACTTAATTAATGATGTCTTGATAGAGGGGTTATTTAAATAATGGTATCTGAATAGTGGGGTTACTTAACTAATGTTGTCTGAATAGTGGGGTTACTTAATTAATGGTGTCTGGATAGTGGGGTTACTTAATTAATGGTGTCTGGATAGTGGGGTTACTTAATTAATGGTGTCTGGATAGTGGGGTTACTTTATTAATGGTGGCTTGGTAATGATTTTTTTCATTAGTAGTGGCTGGATCGATAGTAGGGTTACTAAATTGGTAGTGGCTGAATAAAGGGGGTTATCAGTGGTAGCTAGATGTTGGGATGAACACGGTGTAAAAACAAATGCCTCATTCACAAAGATACAATTGGCAGTAAACATGGTTTACCATATGGTTCTCTGACTTCTTTCTACATTCAACATCCGTTGATTCTTCTTCCTGCAAGGAAAAAAATACAGGTATACGTCAACAGTTTTAAATTCGCTACCCATCTGTCTCATGGTTAAATAAATAATATTAGGTGATACCTTCACAAACCAAACCCTGTTTATGATATGTAAAATATATATGTGCCAACCAAAACTACGAATTTTAGATATTTGAATGTTTGTGAATTTGTGAATTTTTAAACCAACGTTCTTTAAATCGTGTTACAGAGTACGACATTGAAAACGGTATTTATTGCTGTAAAAGTTCTTCTATATTTTGGCAGATATATGTGAACAAAGAATAAATAATCCTCTGGACAAAAAAATTGGCCTGAATACAGAATTGAAGCATTTAAAGGGTTTCGTGAATACGGACCCAGGTAAGTCCCCTTACATGTCAATTTAAACCACATCTTTATTAGCTTACAACTAGTTTATTTGCGGTAATAAAGTAAAACGTACATGATGTCACAAACAAGGTAATGATTCAATAAGTCATTAACTGAAATACACGGGGTCATGTTACATGTACATTGAAATTGCCTTTGCAATGATAATGATATACTTTAAAAAAAGAAACATTGTCCACAGAGCATAAACCTGAATGACGTACCACAAGTTCATCACTGTCACTCCCCTCGACACTAGCACCCATCGTACTGTCTCTGGAACCTGTGCTGAACTGGCTCTCACGTGAACCACTCGATCCTGAACCTAATGGACAAAACTGTGATTAGATGTTGAGGATTTTTTGATGATCATTCAGTTCACCTGAATACTGTTTTTCTTGATTCTACTTCAGTATGAAGGAGATGTATTTGTTAAAATCGCTGCTGAATATATATATTTATTAATTTTCTACGAACGTCTTTTGTCATTTTGATATTATGCAGATGTTCACATTTGAAATAGTTTGTTAATAATGCCATATTATACTATCATAAAAAAATATAAAAAAATAGCATATAATTCTAACTCTGTTATTTAGAAATTATCATTCTGTCTGCCATATTAATGTCAATTTTTTTTTATTGGTGCGAAACACAATCGCTCAACTGGAGAATGGGGTCCAGCTGTAGGATTAGTGGTCCGTGTGTCGGGTAAGTGGTCCGTGTTTGTGATTAGTAGTCCGTGTGTGAGATAAGGGTCTGTGTGTGGGATAAGATTTCTGTGTGTGAGATCAATGGTATTTTTGTGAGATGAGTTGCCCGTGTTTGGGATAAGTTGTCTTTGTGTGGGATAAGTGGTCCGTGTGTGGTAGTCCGTGTGTGGTAGTAGTGGTCCGTGTGTGGTAGTAGTGGTCCGTGTGTGGGATTAGTGATCCGTGTGTGGAATTAGTGATCCGTGTGTGGAATTAGTGATCCGTGTGTGGAATTAGCGATCCGTGTGTGGTAGTAGCGGTCCGTGTGTGGTAGTATCGGTCCGTGTGTGGGAGTAGTGGTCCGTGTGTGGGAGTAGCGGTCCGTGTGTGGGAGTAGTGGTCCGTGTGTGGAAGTAGTGGTCCGTGTGTGGAAGTAGTGGTCCGTGTGTGGTAGTAGCGGTCCGTGTCTGGTAGTAGTGGTTTGTGTGTGGTAGTAGTGGTCCGTGTGTGGGATTAGTGATCCGTGTGTGGAATTAGTGATCCGTGTGTGGTAGTAGTGGTCCGTGTGTGGGATTAGTGGTCCGTGTGTGGTAGTAGTGGTCCGTGTGTGGGAGTAGTGGTCCGTGTGTGGGAGAAGCGGTCCGTGTGTGGGAGTAGTGGTCCGTGTGTGGTAGTAGCGGTCCGTGTGTGGTAGTAGTGGTTTGTGTGTGGTAGTAGTGGTCCGTGTGTGGGATTAGTGGTCCGTGTGTGGTAGTAGTGGTCCATGTGTGGGATTAGTGATCCGTGTGTGGAATTAGTGATCCGTGTGTGGAATTAGTGATCCGTGTGTGGTAGTAGCGGTCCGTGTGTGGTAGTAGTGGTCCGTGTGTGGTAGTAGTGGTCCGTGTGTGGGGTAAGTGGTCCGTGTGTGAGATAAGAGGTCGTTGTGTGTGGGATAAGATTTCTGTGTGTGAGATCAAAGGTCCTTTTGTGGGATTAGTGATCGATTTGTGAGATGAGTTACCCATGTTTGGGATAAGTGGTTCGTAAATGGGATTAGTGGTCCTTGTATAGGGTTAATTGGTTTGTGTGGGATAAGTGGTCCGGGTGTGGGAATAGTGGTCCTTGTGCGGAATGAGTGGTCTTTGTGTGGAATCAGTGGTTCGTGTGTGTTATAAGTGGTCCGTGTTTGGGATACGTGGTCCTTAAGTTAGATTAGTGGCCCATGTGTAGGAACTACGGTCTGTGTGTAGGGTTAGCAGTCTTTGTATGGGAAAAGTGGTATGTGTGTGGGATTAGCGGTCCGTGTGTTATATAAGTGGTCTGTGTGTGGGATTAGTGGTCTGTGTGCGGGATTAGCGGTCCGTGTGTGGGATTAGTGGTCTGTGTGTGGGATTAGCGGTCTGTGTGTTATATAAGTGGTCTGTGTGTGGGATTAGTGGTTTGTGTGCGGGATCAGCGGTCCGTGTGTTATATAAGTGGTCTGTGTGTGGGATTAGTGGTCTGTGTGTGGGATTAGTGGTCTGTGTGTAGGATTAGTGGTCTGTGTGCGGGATAAGTGGTCCGTGTGTGGGATAAGAGGTCGTTGTGTGTGGGATAAGATTTCTGTGTGTGAGATCAAAGGTCCTTTTGTGGGATTAGTGATCGATTTGTGAGATGAGTTACCCGTGTTTGGGATAATTGGTTCGTAAATGGGATTAGTGATCCTTGTATAGGGTTAATTGGTTTGTGTGGGATAAGTGGTCCGGGTGTGGGAATAATGGTCCTTGTGCGGAATGAGTGATCTTTGTGTGGAATCAGTGATTCGTGTGTGTTATAAGTGGTCCGTGTTTGGGATACGTGGTCCTAAAGTTAGATTAGTGGCCCATGTGTAGGAACTATGGTCTGTGTGTAGGGTTAGCAGTCAGTGTATGGGAAATGTGGTATGTGTGTGGAATTAGTGGTCTGTGTGTCGGATTAGCGGTCTGTGTGTTATATAAGTGGTCTGTGTGTGGGATTAGTGGTTTGTGTGCGGGATAAGCGGTCCGTGTGTTATATAAGCGGTCTGTGTGCGGGATTAGTGGTCTGTGTGCGGGATTAGCGATCCGTGTGTTATATTAGTCAGTGCTTGGTCAGGTATTGGTCGATAATGGTAAGGGCCTGGTCCGTGAGGTGTGGTCATTGTATGATCAACACATTGTCAGTTTCAGATAAATATATGGTCTGTTTATAGACGGCGCATGGTGAGTGTGTGGCGTGCCAGTGGTCAGTGCGTGGTCAGTACATGATCATTGAGTGGTACTTACTTAGAGAGCTAGTGTTACTCCATCTCCCTTGGACAACAGAATCTATCGACTGTTTTTGATAAAGGGGACTCTAAAACCAATCAAAGTAGAAAGATACAATTATCAATACGTTTAATAATAGGGTATATCTTAATCGTAAATATATACACCTTGTGCAAATTAGCATTTCTTTCAATATTAGTGACTTTTGACTTAATCTTTAATCTAACTTAGACATGAAACTTGTTTAGGCACAAAAGATTTTATTGGAAATCTCAAAGATTCCAAAGTAATGTCGCAATTTCGGATTGATGAAACATGGGCATTCTTTCTAACTGATAAATAAAAGGGAATTGTTTGTATTTGTAATCGTCCGTTAGCGGAAAAAAACCTCATATCACGTGGTAGAAAATAGGCTACGAACAGGAGGTATATGGCTATTCTTATATAAAAATATATTTTCGATCAATGACAGGGTACATCTTAATTCTTATAAGTATAAATAAATAAATGAAATATATAAAAACTTAAATTCCAAGGCAACCACGTCAATGAAGTGAGATACAAGGTACATCTGTAGATAAATACTAGGTACATCTGTAGATAAATACTCAGGAACGTCTGTAGATAAATACTAGGTACATCTGTAGATAAATACTCAGGTACACCTATAGATAAATACTAGGTACATCTGTAGATAAATACTCAGGTACGTCTGTAGATAAATACTCAGGTACATATATTTGTAGAATACATAAATCTTACCGATATCTGTAGGTCGGTCTCCTTTATCTTTTTGGAAGTAAACACTTTTTTAAACTTTCCCAAAATACCATTAATGGCAGATTTGTTATCTTCTGGTGACTCCTTGATCAGATTTTCATATTTATCTCTAAGTTCTTGTAAGTTCTGTTTTTTTTGTCGTATAGACGCTGACGGGTTTTGGTTCCTTTTCTTCCACGATTCGTAGAGCCTCTCAGCCTCTTTAATCGTGAACTGATTACCCACGGTCTGTCTCGTTATCTCCACAAGTTCGTCCATAGCTTTCGAACCACTTTTGAAATTCTCTTTCGGATATCTATCTTCTAAAATAGTAAGAAGGTGTATATTTAGTTATTGGACTAATGTGAATATGAATTCATTTTATTAACTTAAGGCCTTAAGGCAAATCAGTACATAAACGTGCTAATACTTGTTTGTATTTGTAATCGTCCTAACGGGCACCTGAGTTATGTAAAAACTGATGTTATCGATGTTACCAAGTCATTTTGTAACAAAGGTAACTTGAACTACATGTAATGCAAAAGTAGTGTGAAAGATCTGGGTAGTATATGTACTATGTACAAGTAGAGGTTCTGTCAGTCAGCTGAATTTTGGTAAAGCATCTTTATTAAGACCCTTCCATCTATGAAGAGTATTTGATTCTACCCTATCTAGATCTTGAGAAGAAGATTTTTGAAATTTTAGTCATTTTGACCCTTTTTGGCCCCGCCCCTCAGGCCCCGGGGGGCTGGGGACCATATAATTCACAATTAAACTGTAATAAAGTTTATCCCCTCCCCGTGATACTCCAGGGTCATGAAATTACCAATTTTGGTAAAGCACCTTACGTCTACGAAGAGTATTTCATTCTACCATATCTGGATCATGAGAAGAAGATTTTTGAAATTGCAGTCAATACAACCCTTTTTTCCCCACCCATCAGCCCCTGGAGGTCAGTCAGGACTGATATGTGCATACCATCAAACTGCTATCCAATACTGATAATGCTAACCAAGTTTGAATTAATTCCAATGGAAATTAATTAAATGCTGGTCCAAAATGTGATTTCCCTATATAAACACTAGCAACGTTTATCCCCGCCCCAGGGGGAATCGTGAGACCCCAGGGTCATGAAATTCACAATTTTGGTAAAGCACCTTAAGACCCTTCCATCTATGAAGAGTATTGGATTTTACCATATCTGGGTCTTGAGAAGAAGATTTTTGAAACTCAATTCAACCCTTTTTGGCCCCACCCATCAGCCCCTGGAGGTCAGTCAGGGCTGATTTGTGCATACTATCAAACTGCTATCCAATACTGATAATGCTAACCAAGTTTGTCTTATCTACATTAACAGTCAATTTCCATTCCTCAGAGTAGCTTGCAATATTATCTAACAGTTCTTGTAAACCTTTGACAGTCTCAGAAAACAAAACTAAATCGTCTGTATATAACATAAGAAATAGACTTAATTCCCCAAAATGATAATGTTAGCTACAGTTTGAGATAAAAAAAAAAAAAAAGGATTCAAAATCACTTGCATACAGATGTACAGAAAAAATAGAATTGGGAACAAAATTTCCAATTACCTCAAACTAATATCGTTTTTTAAATTTTAGACATGACCTTACATTATTATATATTGACTAGATCAATCCTGTCAACACAGTCAAACTCCTTTTTAAAATCTACAACGCAATAGCATAGGCGTCTATTTTAGCTTTTTTTTTTTTTTTTTTTTTTTTTTTTTTTTTTTTTTTTTAAAAGATTTCGTTATAACAGAATGTAAGGCAAAACAGCACCAATAGTACTTAGACCAGGTCGAGAACCAAACTGTGCGTCAGTAATAATATTCAAAATAGATGTAAATAACTTTCAGACACAACTTAGCAGACAAAGTAAAATCCTCTGAAAGTATTTGGGTCAGTCATATCACCTTCCTTGTGGACTAGAGTAATAACCGCTGCAGACAATTTCGATTCCATTGTTAATCGTTACAGATTTACAACTCTTGACAAAAGATCATTCATTTTTAAACAAAAACTTCATACAAATGTACCACCGTGCCAGGATAAGCTTCAGCTAAGAGTTTAGAAACAACCTCGGTAACGGACAGTTAACTAACAAAACAAACATCCTTATGACTGTATTTATTTATTTTGTTCATCAGAAGTCATGACACAAGGAGTTATCATAGTTATCACAAAACTATTGATTGCTGTAACTGTTTTGATGCTTAAACCTTTTTCTTTCACAATCGAATTGTGGCATATGGGACATGTGACATGTCAGCCGGAAAGATGGCATCGTTTAAAAGAATTCGGAATAGAGTGAAAAGAAGGGTATAGCGAAAGGTAAAATACAAATGTATCACCCTTTACCTGACAATTTCCTTCTCAGAAACTCCTTTGACAATGGTGGTTCCATGGCGATCGCGTCACAACTCTTTTGTTCGTGCAAATCGGTTTCACTTTGATCTGTGAAGACCAAGTGATAAATGAACGCTGTATTTATGATTAAATATCGTATAGAAGCATGCTTGCATAAACGTAAGACAACAAATGAACCGTATAAAAGAAGGTTGCTATAACATTAATATTCCGGACAGCCGGTCCTAATACGTTAATACTCCAGACGACAATATAACTAAACGGAGATTATTCTATTTTTGTGTAAAACAACTTCAGAGAAGTTATCGGAGTAATTGCTTAAACCTTTCTTAGTAAATGTTCGCTTAACCATTAAAAAGTTCGAAGAGTTTCTTGAATAAATAATAAGCAGAAAGCGTGAAGATGAGAACAGGCAATGTGGCAGTCTATTGACGATAATGAGAGATTACATGAAGTTTAACTTAATATCAAGTAATGTATTATCCATAATCTAATGACACTGTCGAGGTTACTATTGGTGTCTAATCCGAGGGTTCTATAACCAATTAACGAGTGTTAATTATATAATATGTCAATAAGACACATTGTGTGTTGTAATATAAATAACATAAAAAAATAACTTAAAACGTTGATTTTTTTTTAATTAAACCATCAAAGTAACTGCGGAGAAAGCAAAAAGGAAGAAAGAAATGAATAGCTAAATATTGACAAAGAAAAAATCTACATACATCTGCTACGACCTCGTCTCTGGGGAACAGGGCTAGCAAATCTGGGTGGGGGCTGTGGTGGCCGATCTCCGATGTCCCGGACACAGCTTTGTGATCGTACTATTATTGTGATCATACAAAATAGGTCACATGTCTATACTAACAAACATAATAAGTATACAATGTTATCATACAGTGTAATCTATAGCCTTATCACTAAAGTTTATAGTTCACAATTTTGTTCGTATGATGTGAAAGGTTGAACTTTGACGCTGACGTTGACAATGCCTTATTTACCTAGCTATATACCCTTGTATGTAGCTACAGTCAACCGTGCAAAACAATACTGCATGTCTTCATCTATAGCAAAAGGGAGCAATAAACAGGTAGACTATTTCCATCGTTTATTAGTTGCACCATATACTGTTGTTATAAAGCTGAAATGAGTAATATCCAAACCTATGAACACGAATGTCCTGTCGCGTGGTTATCTTAGATAAACCTCAGAGATAATGGTCCTTAGTCTAGAATTGCAATAAGTACAATCTGTTCCAAGATATTTCTTAACCACGAAGAAATTAAACAGACGAATTCGAATTGGAAATAAAGGGACAGACGAATCTTATGGACACAACTTGAAAATATTTTATTGACTTTATCGGGAAACAAATCCCGTTGAGACAAATGTCTAACATAAAAGGAATTTAAAATTTACATAAAAAAGACGGCAGCGACCGGCAGCGACAAAGATACTTTTATAAAGTTTCAGATACAGCGTCACATTCAAGGAAGCTAATCGATTTGTAAATAAATAGAAGTAGAAGAGTTAAGAATATTAAAAAAATAAATATACGGTACTGAAACATTTTTGTACGTATTACTAAGGATAATTTTGATGTAACCATATATGCAAAGGGAAGCTCAAACAATTGCTTTTGGTGCACAGCATATTCACTGAAATATATGGAGGCTTAAAATGGAAATGTTTTAAACACTCCAAAGTTAAACAAACAATTCTTTGGCTACTTTGCATTCGGATTATCACTGTAACTTCTCATTCTAACATGACAGGTTCACCGAATTCTAATAATTAAAACATGAGATGAAAATAATCCGTTATCAATTTCTCCATAATATGTTACATAAGATTACCTGTTTTGCCGAAGTTTTCTTTTTGTAGAGAATATATACGGATGAGTGGCTGAAGATCTTTTCTTGAAGTTCTTGTCTGTTTTGGCATCGTGTCTTCTGTAAAAACAAAAGCATCTCAGTATGGTCATGGCGATGCAGGAATATTGTGTTATCATCCTTAATTCAAAAAATAAATAAATACTTATAGTGCTTTTCTACGCAGTTCCCTATTGAATAAAACCCTTTTCTCTTTTATACGCTGTGATGGTTATGATAAATAGGTTTTTATATAACATTTTGTTTGAGTTTTCTTTTCTTTCTTTTCAAGGGTATTCAGGTAAGTCTCTCCTTTGTTATATTATGGCATAGTGTCTTGATTAGAATTACGGGGATATTTTGTATTATCTTGAATTTATCAATACAATTGACGTCTGTGAGGAAGAAACACAATGTACTGCCAGGTATTTACCTAAATATAGACAATATACTAAATATATATTTCCTCACGTTAAATGTGTTATTTGTTTATAAATTATATCTATATAGTAAATAGAACAGCTGGTTCTATTCTCCTATGTCTTTCACAGCAGACTCGGAGATCACTCATTGTATATAAGTCGTGCAATATGGTTCCCGTTAACCTAAAGTATTTGTAAGTGTTTTGTCATGTTGTTTCACATTAAAACTGCCTTACCATCATATCAATTAAATATGGACTGCTATAGCCCTATCAGTTGTAAGTTAACAAAGGCTATGCGGTTTCTTTGTGTGGTAGTATTGCACGGTTGTCAAATGAAGCGGTCTCGCGACCTTTCCTATACCTGTAGTTAAAGCACGACCATGAGTTACGGATAAGTTCAAATGAAGCGGGCTCACTGCCTTTCTAATATAATTGATAGTCCATCAATTATTTTCAAAACAATAAGCCATGAATCGTGGAACGATGAGAAATGTGACAGAGCACACGTTGGGTTGTTGATCTCGTTACGAATACATTAACTACAAACCTGGCTTAGCCGGTAAATTAGAGATATCCTCTGTTGAAGAATGTTTATGGGACACTGGTGAATAACGTGGTTTTGACGTTTTTGTCTGTCTTTGATTGTCTTCCTCTGTTTAAACAAATGACAAAATAATCAAAAAGTGTAAAAAAAAAAGTCTTCGAAGCCGATATTAAACCTTTCTATATCTTTGACCTTCTCGCATATGTATCAAACTTCTAATAGATACAAACAAAAAACATTATCTGAGGGGCAATATTGTAGTGAGAGCAGTAAGTTTTGCACGATTGAATTCTAGACATTTCTTTTTTGCTAAAAGCAAAACAATCGGTTAATTAACATTGCATGCAACTGCAAAACTTTAAAAACATTATTTTCGAAGGAAGTTGAAGCGTAATTGTTATGGAATAACGAGATAAATTGATAGTCTTTACTTACTCGACATACTCGAAGCTTCGTCTCTTTGGAGGCGACTCCTGCTGAGGTAAATCGTATCACAAGCTAGCACCATGGCTTCAGTTTCCTTAGAAACAATAAGCAGATAATATCATAGACTACGGCAATGACATTTCATTCGAAAACTACACGTAGAACGGTTAACATGGTAAGGTGATTGGTTCAGTTTCCCTTATGACATAACCACTGTATGGAAACGAAGACTATTGAAATGATGATTGTTACTTTTAGCAGACGTATAGGTTATAAAAGATTTCCTTTTACTAAAAAAAAATTACATACAAACACATACTTACACATAAACACACACACATATTAATGATGTCCACATTTAAGAGTGATTTTCATGAAAAGATTTGATAGTGTATTGGTTAGATTTACGGTGATATTTTGTATTATTTTGAATTTATACAATTGACGTCAGTGAGATAGAAACACAAAACTACACATAGAACGGTTAGCATGGTAAGGTGATTGGTTCAGTTTTCCTCATGACATAACCACTGTATGGAAACGAAGACTATTGAAATGATAATTGTTACTTTTAGCAGACGTATAGGTTATAAAAGATTTCCTTTTACTAAAAACAAATACATACAAACACATACTTACACATAAACACCTACACATATTAATGATGTCCACATTTCAGAGTGCTTTTCATGAAAAGATTTGAAGCTTTCTTGCAATTTAATTGGATGAGAGGCCTTGACTATGATGTCATGCTATATCGGCCCCGTGATACCGGAATGTTTATGTTGATGACAGTAATGGTAAACAAAACAAGTAAACACCAGGCAGAAACACAAATTATATATATCCACTAAAGGAACGGCGGAATCAATGTTACAGTACATGAGTATATTTATAGCTAACATTGATAGTTAACATTAGTTAACACTGATATAAACATTGATAGTTAACATAAGTTAACATTGCTAGTTAACATTAGTTAACACTGAGAGTAAACACTGTTAGTTAACATTAGTTAACATTGCTAGTCAACGTTGATAGTTAACATTAGTTAACATTGATGGTTTACATAAGTTAACACTGATAGTAAATATTGATAGTTAATATTGAGAGTTAATATTGATATATTATTGATAGTTAATATTGAGAGTTAATATAAATAGTAAACGTTAATAATAAACGTCGATAGTTAACGTTGATGGTTAACATTGTAAGTTATTATTGATAGTTAACATTGCTAGTCAACGTTGATAGTTAACATTAGTTAACATTGATGGTTCACATAAGTTAACACTGATAGTAACTATTGATAGTTAATATTGATAGTTAACACTGATAGTTAACATTGACAGTTAACATTGATAGTTAACATTGATAGTTAACATTGATAGTCAACATTGATAGTTAACATTGATAGTAAACGTCGATAGTTATTATTGATAGTTAACATTGATAAGAAACATTGATAGTTATTATTGATAGTTAACATTGATAATTAACATTGATAGTTAACATTGACAGTTAACATTGATAGTTAATATTGATAGTTAACATTGATAGTAAACGTCGATAGTTAACGACGATAGTTAACGTTGATAGTTAACATTGATAGTTATTATTGATAGTTAACATTGATAGTTAACATTTATAGTTAACATTGATAGTTAACGTTGATAGTTAACATTGAAAGTTAATATTGATAGTTAACATTGAAAGTTAACATTGATAGTTAACATTGATAGTTAACATTGAAAGTTAACATTGATAGTTAACATTGATAGTTAACATTGATAGTCAACATTGATAGTTAACATTGATAGTTAACATTGACAGTTAATATTGATAGTTAACATTGATAGTAAACGTCGATAGTTAATATTGATAGTTAACATTTATAGTTAACATTGATAGTTAACATTGATAGTAAACATTGAAAGTTAACATTGATAGTTAACATTGATAGTTAACATTGATAGTTAACGTTGATAGTTAACATTGATAACACGGTTTGCTGATTGGTTGAAATCATTTACACAAACAATTCAAGAAAGATCTCACGTTTATTTATTTGTGGGATATATTTGATTGCAAGTTTCACAAACTTAAAACACACGTTTTGCATGATCAATCTTTTGTGAAATGATAAACCTGTAAAATATAAATGATCTCAAATCACCATCAACTTACCAGAAATAGTTTCGTGTAGTTTGCGAGCTCGTGAGATCCTGATTCGATGGCTAAATCATAGACATTCTTCCCCCGAAGGTTGGTAATACGATAGACGTTGCTAGCCCCCGGGATGTTCATCAGGAGTGAACAGAGATCAGAAAGCCCGTTCTTGGCAGCGAAGTGTAGCAAACTGGGTACTTCTGCAGTCGACTGCGATTCTGTTATACAACGATAACTTCAGGTTTTAAACCAAATTAAAATGTACTAGTGAAATAAATCTGGACATTTAATTTCTAAGTTATGCCATTTATTTAAGATTTTTTTTTTTATTAAATGTCGTGTCTAGCATTGAGGAACAAATCATCTTTTATAAATTAAATTTGATGTTTTTACAATAATCACACTACATAGGTTGATAAACATATACACTAGGAATAAGGGGTATAAACTGTTCTGTACTTTTAGCAATTTTTCTCTTTATTTTTGTTTGTTTAATTGGACCAGTTTATCATATTTGAAGCAATATTAAAATAAAAATTTGACTATTTAAAAAATAAATGTGCACATCAACTTAGTAGCACAAATTTATCGGCATATCATAAAAAAAACAAATCAAACATACCAAATAATCAAAATATACCACACACATACCGAATAATCAAAATTTACCACAAAGATGACACTTAGCAAAATGTATCACAGCATTAACATTGAAAATTTTAAATGCACATTAGAGTAAGCATAGAAACCCAATGCGTACCACAAGTAAAATATGTACCACAGAGTAAACAAGTAATATATATACCACTGAGATAACGCAAACTCAGATATACCACAGAGTTAACACAAGTAAAATATATACCACGGAGTAAACAAGTAAAATATATACCACTGAGATACGCACACCCAGATATACCACAGAGTTAACACAAGTTAAATATATACCACGGAGTAAACAAGTAAAATATATACCACTGAGATAATGCAAACTCAGAATATAACACAGAGTTAACACAAGTAAAAAATGTGTACCACAGAGTTAACAAGAAAAATATATTCCACTGAAATAACGCAAACTCAGATGTACCACAGACTTACAACCAGTAAAATATGTACCACAGAGTAAACAAGTAAAATATATACCACTGAGACTATGCAAACTCAGATATACCACAGAGTAAACATGTTAAATAGTTACCACTGATATAACAAGTAAAATATATACCACTGATATAACGCAAACTCAGATATACCACAGAATTTACACAAGTAAAATATGAACCACAGAGTTGACACAAGTAAAATATATACCACGGAGTAAACAAGTAAAATATATACCACTGAATAAACGCAAACTCTCATATACCACAGAGTTAACATAAGTAAAATATGTACCACATAGTTAACACAAGTAAAATATGTACCACTGAGTTTACACAAGTAAAATATGTACCACAGAGTTAACACAAGTAAAATATGTACCACAGAGTTTACACAAGTAAAATATGTACCACAGAGTAAACAAGTAAAATATGTACCACAGGGTTAACACAAGTAAAATATATACCACAGAGTTAACACAAGTAAAATATGTACCACAGAGGTAACACAAGTAAAATATGTACCACAGAGTTAACACAAGTAAAACATATACATGGGTTCCTTTTGTCAAAAGGATATAGGTACGACTCCTTTTCTAGACACACTTATTGCATACAAGCCTCACATTTTAAAACGTACACTTTCTGTATGATTTCAGGTCAAAAGCATATACAGAACTGTAGCTAGTGATCTTACCCTGGGGGTTCTCATATATATTTGTACCCATTAAGGAAATATGAGACTGATCATCAGGTGCACTTTGCTTGAAGATATTCACTAGTCTTTTGTCCAATGACTCCATATCATTCGAGCCTAAACCCAGTGCTTGACACAGATACAAAGGACTCTCGAACGCTGATAATATAGGTGATTGGAAAAGCAGTTCACATTTTCCGACTAGGTGATCGTCCACAAACACGCACACTTTATTTTTTCCTTCCGACAAATCTAAAATTGAGACAGAAATAGGAAATAAAGATGAACCATATTTGGTCTAGACATGTTGTAACAGACATGTGGTAATTATATATTTGTGCTAGTTACAGACATTTTATAGTTGTAATTTGTGGTGGTTACAGACATGTGGTATCAATATATTTGTGGTAGTTACACACACGTGGTAGTTATATATTTGTGGTAGTTACAGACATGTGGTAGTTGTATATTTGTGGTAGTTACAGACACGTGGTAGTTGTGTATTTGTGGTAGTTACACACACGTGGTAGTTATATATCTGCGGTAGATACACACACGTGGTTGTTATATATTTGTGGAAGGCTTAGACAGGTGGTAACTTTAGATATGTGGAAGGCTTAAACAGGTGGTAACTTTAGATATGTGGAAGGCTTAAACAGGTGGTAACTATAGATATGTGGAAGGCTTAAACAGGTGGTAACTATAGATATGTGGAAGGCTTAAACAGGTGGTAACTATAGATATGTGGAAGGCTTAAACAGGTGGTAACTATAGATATGTGGAAGGCTTAAACAGGTGGTAACTATAGATATGTGGAAGGCTTAAACAGGTGGTAACTATAGATATGTGGAAGGCTTAAACAGGTGGTAACTATAGATATGTGGAAGGCTTAAACAGGTGGTAACTATAGATATGTGGAAGGCTTAAACAGGTGGTAACTATAGATATGTGGAAGGCTTAAACAGGTGGTAACTATAGATATGTGGAAGGCTTAAACAGGTGGTAACTATAGATATGTGGAAGGCTTAAACAGGTGGTAACTATAGATATGTGGAAGGCTTAAACAGGTGGTAACTATAGATATGTGGAAGGCTTAAACAGGTGGTAACTATAGATATGTGGAAGGCTTAAACAGGTGGTAACTATAGATATGTGGAAGGCTTAAACAGGTGGTAACTATAGATATGTGGAAGGCTTAAACAGGTGGTAACTATAGATATGTGGAAGGCTTAAACAGGTGGTAACTATAGATATGTGGAAGGCTTAAACAGGTGGTAACTATAGATATGTGGAAGGCTTAAACAGGTGGTAACTATAGATATGTGGAAGGCTTAAACAGGTGGTAACTATAGATATGTGGAAGGCTTAAACAGGTGGTAACTATAGATATGTGGAAGGCTTAAACAGGTGGTAACTATAGATATGTGGAAGGCTTAAACAGGTGGTAACTATAGATATGTGGAAGGCTTAAACAGGTGGTAACTATAGATATGTGGAAGGCTTAAACAGGTGGTAACTATAGATATGTGGAAGGCTTAAACAGGTGGTAACTATAGATATGTGGAAGGCTTAAACAGGTGGTAACTATAGATATGTGGAAGGCTTAAACAGGTGGTAACTATAGATATGTGGAAGGCTTAAACAGGTGGTAACTATAGATATGTGGAAGGCTTAAACAGGTGGTAACTATAGATATGTGGAAGGCTTAAACAGGTGGTAACTATAGATATGTGGAAGGCTTAAACAGGTGGTAACTATAGATATGTGGAAGGCTTAAACAGGTGGTAACTATAGATATGTGGAAGGCTTAAACAGGTGGTAACTATAGATATGTGGAAGGCTTAAACAGGTGGTAACTATAGATATGTGGAAGGCTTAAACAGGTGGTAACTATAGATATGTGGAAGGCTTAAACAGGTGGTAACTATAGATATGTGGAAGGCTTAAACAGGTGGTAACTATAGATATGTGGAAGGCTTAAACAGGTGGTAACTATAGATATGTGGAAGGCTTAAACAGGTGGTAACTATAGATATGTGGAAGGCTTAAACAGGTGGTAACTATAGATATGTGGAAGGCTTAAACAGGTGGTAACTATAGATATGTGGAAGGCTTAAACAGGTGGTAACTATAGATATGTGGAAGGCTTAAACAGGTGGTAACTATAGATATGTGGAAGGCTTAAACAGGTGGTAACTATAGATATGTGGAAGGCTTAAACAGGTGGTAACTATAGATATGTGGAAGGCTTAAACAGGTGGTAACTATAGATATGTGGAAGGCTTAAACAGGTGGTAACTATAGATATGTGGAAGGCTTAAACAGGTGGTAACTATAGATATGTGGAAGGCTTAAACAGGTGGTAACTATAGATATGTGGAAGGCTTAAACAGGTGGTAACTATAGATATGTGGAAGGCTTAAACAGGTGGTAACTATAGATATGTGGAAGGCTTAAACAGGTGGTAACTATAGATATGTGGAAGGCTTAAACAGGTGGTAACTATAGATATGTGGAAGGCTTAAACAGGTGGTAACTATAGATATGTGGAAGGCTTAAACAGGTGGTAACTATAGATATGTGGAAGGCTTAAACAGGTGGTAACTATAGATATGTGGAAGGCTTAAACAGGTGGTAACTATAGATATGTGGAAGGCTTAAACAGGTGGTAACTATAGATATGTGGAAGGCTTAAACAGGTGGTAACTATAGATATGTGGAAGGCTTAAACAGGTGGTAACTATAGATATGTGGAAGGCTTAAACAGGTGGTAACTATAGATATGTGGAAGGCTTAAACAGGTGGTAACTATAGATATGTGGAAGGCTTAAACAGGTGGTAACTATAGATATGTGGAAGGCTTAAACAGGTGGTAACTATAGATATGTGGAAGGCTTAAACAGGTGGTAACTATAGATATGTGGAAGGCTTAAACAGGTGGTAACTATAGATATGTGGAAGGCTTAAACAGGTGGTAACTATAGATATGTGGAAGGCTTAAACAGGTGGTAACTATAGATATGTGGAAGGCTTAAACAGGTGGTAACTATAGATATGTGGAAGGCTTAAACAGGTGGTAACTATAGATATGTGGAAGGCTTAAACAGGTGGTAACTATAGATATGTGGAAGGCTTAAACAGGTGGTAACTATAGATATGTGGAAGGCTTAAACAGGTGGTAACTATAGATATGTGGAAGGCTTAAACAGGTGGTAACTATAGATATGTGGAAGGCTTAAACAGGTGGTAACTATAGATATGTGGAAGGCTTAAACAGGTGGTAACTATAGATATGTGGAAGGCTTAAACAGGTGGTAACTATAGATATGTGGAAGGCTTAAACAGGTGGTAACTATAGATATGTGGAAGGCTTAAACAGGTGGTAACTATAGATATGTGGAAGGCTTAAACAGGTGGTAACTATAGATATGTGGAAGGCTTAAACAGGTGGTAACTATAGATATGTGGAAGGCTTAAACAGGTGGTAACTATAGATATGTGGAAGGCTTAGACAGGTGGTAACTATAGATATGTGGAAGGCTTAGACAGGTGGTAACTATAGATATGTGGAAGGCTTAGACAGGTGGTAACTGTAGATATGTGGAAGGCTTAGACAGGTGGTAACTATAGATATGTCGAAGGCTTAGACATATGGTAACTCTAGATATGTGGAAGGCTTAGACAGGTGGTAACTATAGATATGTCGAAGGCTAAGACAGGTGGTAGCTATAGATATGTGGAAGGCTTAAACAGGTGGTAACTATAGATATGTGGAAGGCTTAGACTGGTGGTAACTATAGATATGTGAAGGCTTAGACAGGTGGTAACTGTAGATATGTGGAAGGCTTAAACAGGTGGTAACTATAGATATGTGGAAGGCTTAAACAGGTGGTAACTATAGATATGTGGAAGGCTTGTAAAGGTGGTAACTATAGATATGTATATGTTACCAGAGATAGGTGGAAGGCTTGGAAAGGTGGTAACTATAGATACATGTATGTATATGTAACCATAGACAGGTGGAAGGCTTATACAGGTGATAACTATAGATATGTGGAAGGCTTAGACATGAGGTAACTATAGATATTTGGAAGGCTTAGACAGGTGATAACTATAGTTATGTGGAAGGCTAAGACAGGTGGTAACTATAGATGTGTGGAAGGCTTAGACAGGTGGTAACTAAAGATATGTGGAAGCCTTAGACAGGTGGTAACTTTAGATATGTGGAAGGCTTAGACAGGTGGTAACTATATATACCAAGGGGCTTTAGACAGGTGATAACTATATATACCAAGTAGCTTTAAACGCGTGGTAACTATATATACCAAGTAGCTTTAAACGGGTGGTAACTATATATACCAAGTAGCTTTAAACGGGTGGTAAATACATCTACCTAGTAGCTTTACACGGGTGGTAACTATATATACCAAATAGCTTTGGACTGGTGGTAACTATATGTACCAAGTAGCTTTAGACAGGAAGTAGCTATATTTACCAAGTAGCTTAATCCTGGCGGTACTTATATGTACCAAATAGCTTTGGACTGGTGGTAACTATATGTACCAAGTAGCTTTAGACAGGTGATAGCTGTATACAGATAGCTAAAGATAGGTGATAACTGTAGACAAATAGCTAAAGATAGGTGATAACTGTAGACAAATAGCTAAAGATAGGTGATAGCTGTAGACAGATAGCTAAAGAAAGGTGATAGCTGTAGACAGATAGATAAAGTTTGGTGATAGCTGTAGACAGATAGATAAAGTTTGGTGATAGCTGTAGACAGATAACTAAAGATAGGTGATAGCTGTAGACAGATAACTAAAGATAGGTGATAGTTGTAGAGAGATAGCTAAAGATAGGTAATAGCTGTAGACAGATAACTAAAGATAGGTGATAGCTGTATACAGATAACTAAAGATAGGTGATAGCTGTAGACAGATAGCTAAAGATAGGTGATAGCTGTAGACAGATAGCTAAAGATAGGTGATAGTTGTAGAGAGATAGCTAAAGATAGGTGATAGCTGTATACAGATAGTTAACAGTTAAAGCATTGGTATGAAGGATATAGCAAGTTTATGATCCCCTGAGGCCAGGATTATTTCCCGAGGCGAAACCGAGGGAAATAGTCCTGGACGAGGGGAAATAGTTCCAAAACTATCGCACCCCTCCAGACGAACTATTTTTCTGGCATGCAGTTAGTTGGACATAGCTTGGTTATGTGGCTACTTTTGTGTAGTGTAAAATAAGTAAAGGTATAATAATAGGGATTAAATTTCTAATTACTTCAAGCGATATAAGGGAAAGTTAAATACTGTATTTGTATAAACAAACAAAAAATGCAGGCTATGGCGTAGATATGTATTGACTGATTTTATATACATATTGTAATTAAATTTGAAAATGTCCAATCATGTTTAAAGCCTGTTGTTCTTATCTTGGTTTAAATAGTTTCATAAAATTGATGACAGAAATGGCTGTATGAAGTTTTAATACAATTTGGTAATGAAACTTAAGTCGAGAATTTGTGGACAAGCCAATTTTCTTATCATTATGTAATGATTCTATAAAAAAAAGGACCTAGACCTTGAACATTTGGCAATGGTTTAAAAGTGGAGTGGTCTACATTAATTTGATTCAAAATTTATTTGTGTGGAGTTTCGTGAAGTGTTGTCGAAAATTTTAGTCAGAAACCTGCGGACAGGCCAACTTTTGCCGGACGTACAAATGAAAAGGCTGACAAAAGTCAAAGACTTTAAAGGAATTAGTAGCTTTAGTTTATGAATAGTTTAATTCACCGCTTACTGTACAGAACGTTCAATGAGTATTTTTTTTTTTTTTTATCTTTTATTTTTTTATTAATTAAAATATGTAAGCTCGTTAATGTCTTTAATGACTTAATATTCTATAAGCTTTACGTATACAGTTTTTATCATTTGCTATAACTGTGACGTTTAATTTATCAAATTCTTGATATCAAACTTTTTTAAAATTACTGAATATTAACATCAGCAAAGGATATAAATATAAGATAATGTAGGCGTAAACTATTCTTACTTTCAGCTGTGAACATAACACTGAACGGATTGTAAACTTCTGTCCCGATCCGGTTTTCTTTACTTTTTCCAAAAGAAACCGTCACTGTTCCCCTCACTTCTCGCTCAAAATTGAGATACACAAGGATAGCCTGCTGTAAAGAGAGAAAAAAGAAATTAGTTACCTAAGATAATTTATGAAAAATGTATGTAGGTTAAAGCTATACATCGATGACAGAACTTGTAAAACTCGACGAAAAGGCAATGTAGTAAGTAGCTACCGAATACAATTTGTAGTCTCAATAGCGTAATTGTGATTTTTTTTCGAATTTACTTTACACATCAGCTGAATAATGTAAAACAGGGTACCTGGTACACTGTGTTTGGTATACAACGGAATTTCAAGGCGTTTTTCTTCATCTGGAGACGTCTTCTCTTCGCGGCTCGGTCTGCAATATCCACGGTATCCAGGAGTTCAGAGACGAGAGCAATGTTTTCCTGCTTATTTACCGTCACTTTCAAAATTTTCAATGACTGAAGGAAGGTAAATTTATCAAGAATTTCTTCTTTTTCCTCCTCCTCTAAGAAACAACTGAGAAGCACAATGTCTTTTTGCTTGTGTCCCTGAAGTTCCTTGAATACGTTTTCCATTTCTGGTCCTAGCATACAGGGCGATACCAAGACAGCAACAACTGTGGATGTGTCGACAGTATTTTGCAACATGGACGAATTTTTCTCGAGGTCAAGCAATTTAACATCGCTATCCTCTCCATGCTGAGATATAAGTTTGTGTAAATATCTACTCCATTTTTCTGCATCCTCGGCATGGTACAAAATCGAAATCGGAGCCATTGATATAAAGATAGATTTCAGCACAACTCAGACTGATACAATATACATATTCCTATGATATCAGTGAGTAGTTCCGCTCGGCTGTTCAGTTATCTGGAATCAAAATAAGAAATTTATATTAGGAAGGTCTTCGCCGCAAAATGTGTGAAGGAAACGAATATAGTCAATGTCACGTTACTTAACCCTGACAAAAAGCATTGCCAACACGTAATAAACATAAAATTGTCCTCTCCTTCACCGCCCACGCACATTTCATTTAACTGATAACTCGTGAAACATTTATAAGCAATAAATATATGTCGAAATTCCGGATTTTTTCTCCAGTTATTCAATATATCTCAATATCTCCATCGAGCGTGATCAGTATAACTGGGTGCGTTACATTTGGTGGGCCAGCTTTGGGATCCTAGAGTACCCTATAGGTGCATTGGTTCAAAGAGAGAACCAATCGGATTCCAATTGCCCAGCCTCGGAATAAAACTTTTAAAAGTGAGGAATAGCCTAGCTTTTATTTTATGTATGAGATTTGTCAAATGATGAAGTGGTGAAAGTTGTAAGTGGATGGAGGGGTGAGAGTTGTCTGTGGATGGAGGGTGAGAGTTGTCGTGATAATTGTCAGTGGATGAAGGGATGTGAGTTGTCAGTGGATAGAGGGTGTGTATTAGCAGTGGTTGGATGGGCGCGAGTTGTCAGTGGATGGAGGGCGAGAGTTGTCAGTGGATGGAGGGTGAGAGTTGTCAGTAGATGAATTGTGAAAGTTGTCAGTGAATGGAGGGTGAGAGTTGTCAGTGGATGTAGGGTGAGAGTTGTCAGTAGATTGAGGGTGAGAGTTGTCAGTAGATGAATTGTGAAAGTTGTCAGTGGATGGAGGGTTGAGAGTTGTAAGTGGATGAAGGGTGAAAGTTGTCAGTGGATGGAGGGTGAGAGGTGTCAGTGGATGGAGGGTGAGAGTTGTCAGTAGATGGAGGGGTGAGAGTTGTCAGTGGATGGAGGGTTAAGAGTCGTCAGTGGATGGAGGGCTGAGAGTTGTCAGTGGATGGAGGGTGAGAGTTGTCAGTAGATTGAGGGTGAGAGTTGTCAGCAGATGAATTGTGAAAGTTGTCAGTGGATGGAGGGTTGAGAGTTGTAAGTGGATGAATGGTGAAAGTTGTCAGTGGATGGAGGGTGAGAGTTGTCAGTGGATGGAGGGGGGGAGTTGTCAGTAGATGGAGGGGGGAGAGTTGTCAGTGGATGGAGGGTTGAGAGTCGTCAGTGGATGGAGGGCTGAGAGTTGTCAGTGAATGGAGGGCTGAGAGTTGTCAGTAGAAGGAGGGTGATAGTTGTCAGTTGATGGAGGGTGATAGTTATCAGTTGATGGAGGGGTTAAAGTTGTCAGTAGATGGAGGGTGATAGTTGTCAGTTGATGGAGGGTGATCGTTGTCAGTGTACGGAAGGGTTATAGATGTCAGTAGATGGAGGGTGATAGTTGCCAATGGATGGAGGGTGATAGTTGTCAGCTGATGGAGGGTGAGAGTTGTCAGTGGATGGAGGGTGATAGTTGTCAGTAGATGGAGGGGTTATAGTTGTCAGTAGAAGGAGGGTGATAGTTGTCAGCTGATGGAGGGTGATAGTTGTCAGTTGTTGGAGGGTGATAGTTATCAGTTGATGGAGGGGTTAAAGTTGTCAGTAGATGGAGGGTGATAGTTGTCAGTTGATGGAGGGTGATCGTTGTCAGTGGACGGAAGGGTTATAGATGTCAGTAGATGGAGGGTTATAGTTGCCAGTGGATGGAGGGTGATAGTTGTCAGTGGATGGAGGGTGAGAGTTGTCAGTGAATGGAGGGTGATAGTTGTCAGTAGATGGAGGGTGAGAGTTGTCAGTTGATGGAGGGTGAGGGTTGTCAGTAGATGGAGGGTGAGAGTTGTCAGGAGATGGAGGGTGAGAGTTGTCAGTTGATGGAGGGGGTCCCTCTTGGACATTACAGCATTATGAAGGTTGTAGATGAATTGTGAAAGTTGTCAGTGAATGGAGGGTGATAGTTGTCAGTAGATGGAGAGTGAGAGTTGTCAGAAGATGGAGGGTGAGAGTTGTCAGGAGATGGAGGGTGAGAGTTGTCAGTGAATGGAGGGGGATAGTTGTCAGTAGATGGAGGGGGATAGTTGTCAGTGGATGGAGGGTGATGGGTGTCAGTAGATGGAGGGTGAGAGTTGCCAGTGGATGGAGGGTGATAGTTGTCAGTTGATGGAGGGTGAGGGTTGTCAGTAGATGGAGGGTGAGCGTTGTCGGTTGATGGAGGGTGCGAGTTGTCAGTTGATGGAGGGCGAGAGTTGTCAGTGGATGGAGGGGGATAGTTGTCAGTAGATGGGGGGGGAGAGTTGTCAGTTGATGGGGGGGGAGAGTTGTCAGTAGATGGAGGGCGAGAGTTGTCAGTTGATGGAGGGGGAGAGTTGTCAATGGATGGAGGGGGAGAGTTGTCAGTGGATGGAGGGTGAGAGTTGTCAGTTGATGGAGGGGTTCCCTCTTGGACATTACAGCATTATGAAGGTTGGTTTATAAACTATATGGAGTGACAGCTACTCTGTCCATGACATCAAACAACCACCTGAAGGATAATAAACCGATATGTTTGAGTGACGTTAAGCCTAGATTATCTCTACTCGTATGTATGGTCACAATTTAACAGCTTTTTACTAAACCTAACATCTGTACTAAAACAGGGTAACTATCTCGTTTATAATATCTTATGTCCCCTGTTGTGTGCTATCAACGAGTATTACTGTTCATACACATTGTCAATCAAACCATTTCCGACGAATTCTGAAATGTTACATTCAAGTGTCTGTGGTATTTTTATGACGACGTTCAAATTAATGAATGGATCATCAAAACCCATATTCTCCGCCGTGTTTACTACTTCCCAGGAATATGAAATTACATCCGTAAACGCATAAGATATATAAGTTGATTATTAATAATCCACGTTACCGGCAAATTACCACACAAATCTTATATCCGCCAGAAACTAGATATATTGAGTACTACGGACTGTTGTTAGCTGGATCTTTGCCAGCAAACATGGAGCTTGAGCCCAGTCACTCATTGCCTGATTAACGATAGATTCTTTGAAAACGCAGATATTTCATCTTAATATATTTTCAAAAACACTGAAATCAAAAAATAAAATCATTAGTAGACGGCTTCAGAAAATGCCATTTGTAACTTTTATCAACTTTTTTTTTCTTCTCAAAAATGAGTTTTGAAAATTGCGTTTAGTTTATCTTGCTTTAAACTGCTTGAAACAGACAATTATCCTAGTATAAAACTAGATCTCTGACACACATTGGAAAAATCGCAACTCAAGGTGTCTTCATGGAAACGTTATTTTGAACCACAAGTGGCACCAACAATTGATCTGCACTATTCGATGCTTTTGTTAAAACTATAAATGGTACAATATTGTGTTGGTACAGCTAAAGATGGTACAGTATTGTGTTGGTACAGCTATAAATGGTAGAGGGTTGTGTTGGTACAGCTATAAATGGGAGAGGATTGTGTTGGTACAGCTATTAATGGTACAAGATTGTGTTGGTACAGCTATAAATGGGATAGGATTGTGTTGACACAGGGATAGATGGGAGAGGATTGTGTTGGTACAGCTATTAATGGTACAAGATTGTGTTGGTACAAGTATAAATGGTAGAGGATTGTGTTTGTACAGCTATCAATGGTACAAGATTGTGTTGGCACAACTATAAATGGTAGAGGATTGCGTTGGTACAGCTATAAATGGTAGAGGATTGTGTTGGTACAGCTATAAATGGTATAGGATTGTGTTGACACAGGTATAGATGGTAGAGGATTGTGTTGGTACAGCTATCAATGGTACAAGATTGTGTTGGTACAACTATAAATGGTAGAGGATTGTGTTGGTACAGATAAAATGGTAGAGGATTGTGTTGGTACAGCTATAAATGGTATAGGATTGTGTTGACACAGGGATAGATGGGAGAGGATTGTGTTGGTACAGCTATAAATGGTACAGGATTGTGTTGGTACAGCTATAAATGGTAGAGGATTGTGTTGGTACAGCTATAAATGGTACAGTATTGTGTTAGTACAGCTACAAATGGTATAGGATTGTGTTGGTACAGCTATAGATGGTAGAGGATTGTGTTGGTACAGCTATAGATGGTAGAGGATTGTGTTGGTACAGCTATAAATGGTACAGGATTGTGTTGGTACAGCTATAAATGGTACAGGATTGTGTTGGTACAGCTATAAATGGTACAGGATTGTGTTGGTACAGCTATAAATGGTACAGGATTGTGTTGGTACAGCTATAAATGGTACAGGATTGTGTTGGTACAGCTATAAATGGTACAGGATTGTGTTGGTACAGCTATAAATGGTACAGGATTGTGTTGGTACAGCTATAAATGGTACAGGATTGTGTTGGTACAGCTATAAATGGTACAGTATTGTGTTGGTACAGCTATAAATGGTACAGGATTGTGTTGGTACAGCTATAAATGGTACAGGATTGTGTTGGTACAGCTATAAATGGTACAGGATTGTGTTGGTACAGCTATAAATGGTACAGGATTGTGTTGGTACAGCTATAAATGGTACAGGATTGTGTTGGTACAGCTATAAATGGTACAGGATTGTGTTGGTACAGCTATAAATGGTACAGGATTGTGTTGGTACAGCTATAAATGGTACAGGATTGTGTTGGTACAGCTATAAATGGTACAGGATTGTGTTGGTACAGCTATAAATGGTACAGTATTGTGTTGGTACAGCTATAAATGGTACAGGATTGTGTTGGTACAGCTATAAATGGTACAGTATTGTGTTGGTACAGCTATAAATGGTACAGGATTGTGTTGGTACAGCTATAAATGGTACAGTATTGTGTTGGTACAGCTATAAATGGTACAGGATTGTGTTGGTACAGCTATAAATGGTATAGGATTGTGTTGGTACAGCTATAAATGGTACAGTATTGTGTTGGTACAGCTATAAATGGTAGAGTATTGTGTTGGTACAGCTATAAATGGTAGAGGATTGTGTTGGTACAGGTATAAATGGTATAGGATTGTGTTGGTACAGCTATAAATGGTACAGGATTGTGTTGGTACAGCTATAATGGTAGAGGATTGTGTTGGTACAGCTATAAATGGTACAGTATTGTGTTGGTACAACTATAGATGGTACAGGATTGTGTTGGTACAGCTATAAATGGTACAGTATTGTGTTGGTACAGCTATAGATGGTACAGTATTGTGTTGGTACAGCTATAGATGGTACAGTATTGTGTTGGTACAGCTATAAATGGTAGAGTATTGTGTTGATACCGCTATAAATGGTAGAGGATTGTGTTGGTACAGGTATAGATGGTAGATGATTGTGTTGGTACAGCTATAGATGGTACAGTATTGTGTTAGTACAGCTATAAATGGTATAGGATTGTGTTGGTACAGCTATAGATGGTAGAGGATTGTGTTGGTACCGCTATAAATGGTACAGTATTGTGTTGGTACAGCTATAAATGGTACAGTATTGTGTAGGTACAACTATAGATGGTACAGGATTTTGTTGGTACAGCTATAAATGGTACAGTATTGTGTTGGTACAGCTATAGATGGTACAGTATTTTGTTGGTACAGCTATAAATGGGAGAGTATTGTGTTGGTACAGCTATAAATGGTACAGGATTGTGTTGGTACCGCTATCAATGGTATAGGATTGTGTTGTTACAGCTATAAATGGTACAGGATTGTGTTGGTACAGCTATAAATGGTTGTGTTGGTACAGCTATAAATCGTACAGGATTGTGTTGGGACAGCTATAAATGGTAGAGGATTGTGTTCGTACAACTATAGATGGTACAGCATTGTGTTGGTACAGCTATCAATGGTACAGGATTGTGGTGGTACCGCTATCAATGGAATAGGATTGTGTTGTTACAGCTATAAATGATACAGGATTGTGTTGGTTCCGCTATCAATGGTATATGATTGTGTTGTTACAGCTGATTGTGTTGGTACAGCTAGAAATGGTACAGGATTGTTTTGGTACAACTATAGATGGTACAGTATTGTGTTGGTACAGCTATAGATGGTACAGGATTGTGATGGTACAGCTATAAATGGTAGAGTATTGTGTTGGTACAGCTATAAATGGTACAGGATTGTGTTGGTACAGCTATAAATGGTATAGGATTGTGTTGATACAGCTATAAATGTTACAGGATTGTGTTGGTACAGCTATAAATGGTATAGGATTGTGTTAATACAGCTATAAATGTGACAGGATTGTGTTGGTACAGCTATAAATGGTACAGTATTGTGTTAGTACAGCTATAAATGGTAGAGTATTGTGTATGGTAGAGGATTGTGTTGGTACAGCTATAAATGGTACAGTATTGTGTTGGTACAGCTATAAATGGTAGAGGATTGTGTTGGTACAGCTATAGATGGTACAGTATTGTGTTAGTACAGCTATAAATGGTAGAGTATTGTGTTGGTACAGCCATAGATGGTAGAGGATTGTGTTGGTACAGCTATAGATGGTAGAGGATTGTGTTGGTACAGCTATAGATGGTAGAGGATTGTGTTGGTACAACTATAAATGGTACAGTATTGTGTTGGTACAGCTATAAATGGTAGAGGGTTGTGTTGGTAAAGCTATAAATGGTACAGTATTGTGTTTACAGCTATAGACGGTACAGTATTGTGTTGGTAGAGCTATAAATGGTAGAGTATGGTGTTGGTACCGCTATAAATGGTAGAGGATTGTGTTGGTACAGGTATAGATGGTAGATGATTGTGTTGGTACAGCTATAAATGGTAGAGTATTGTGTTGGTACAGCCATAAATGGTAGAAGATTGTGTTGATACCGCTATC